CTTTATACATTTTCTCTGAAAGATGGCCTTGTGTAATGGGATTCAAACATATCTCAATAGCCCACAAGGATAAATGCCTGGTGAGAAGCACACGGACGTGACAACACAAAAATGCCTCTACTTAAGGGATTGGATTCAACTCCCAACAGAGTAATGCCAGATATCAGAGTATGAAAAGAAGCTACAAAAATTTAAAATAGAAACTTACCACAGAGATATTTTTATACTACATCCAAGGAATGTAACACAGGCCATCTGAGACCCTGGGGAAGAGTATAAACCAAAAGCCGGGAAGAGGCCCTAACGGGGTGATGTCCACGTTCTAATGGCCTATTTAGTTCAACAAAAACAACAACAACAGGCTACTAGAGGTGTCTTTGACCAGCTCAAGAAGCCGCATAACACTTCTTCAAGGGAGCGGAAAAATAGTCCCTTGTTGATATTTTTCATCCTGATTAATTAATTGACTGTGCAGGTAAGTGTCTGCAATTATGATGCAATGGGACGAACGAAACTGCAAGAGTGTCCCATGAAAGTGGCCAACTTGCAGCAAGAATTTGGTGGATAAATTGTTCTTTAGGGCAGGTCTGCATCCTGGTCACTGGGATATTCCTGTTTCCAGGCCACCGTACCCTTCACCTAAGACGCCTCTGGGAAATTTTACTTGAATGTGTGAATGACCCAGTAATTCCCAAAGTTTCATTTTCAACTACTTGCATTTTTGCTCCTAAGAGAAAGGAGTGGCCGCCAGAGCTGACTGTCTCTGGCATGCTGGAGGCTGACCCCAGTGACTCCAGAGACCACCCTGCTCTTCTGGGAAACTTTCTCTTGCCAGGCTGTTCCAAGGGTCTATACCCGGCCTGATTACACCTCTCCGCCCACAGTTGGAACCAGGCTGACCTGGTGATGGAGTTGGACCGGCGATTCCTGAGCCCAGGAAGGCCACATGGCAGGCTTTGGAGTCAGACCACTGGGCTCCAGTCCTGACCACCTGTCAACTCTGACCCTGGAGCAGCCAACCACCTCCTCTGAGCTCCCATCCCCGACGAGGGCTGGGAGCTAACACAGATGTTGTGACCACTGGATTCAGGACACGGCCTGATTCGGGAGCTGAGGCCTTGTTTTCACTGGTATCAAGCCAGCGGACTGACACCACCAAAACAAGATGAAAACCGAGGAAGAGAAGATTTTTTCTGATAGGCTCTTAGGTATTTTAACATCCCGCTTTTGTTTTTCTTTACATTTTTACTATAAATTTATCCCAGATCAAAATATTTTCTGCAGAATATAGTATTTTTGACTCTCAGATGGTAAAGCAACTGCCTGCAAATGCAGACAACTCAGGTTCGATCCCTGGGTATGGAAGATCCTCTGGAGGAGGACTTGTGATGAACATCCACTTAGGAGACAGGTGATGACGACAGAGCCCTGACTGACCTGACTGCTCTCAGATTGCTCATTAAGTCTCACTTATCCACCAGCCCTTAGAAATGCTAGCAAAATACACCTTTAAGGGAGCTAATATAATACCCACATTTTGGGAAGAAAACACCAAACAAACCAATTAATACTCCACTTTAATTCATCACTGATTGTCTATGGGCTTCCCAGGTGGCACTAGTGGTAAAGAACCTGTCTGTCAATGTAGGAGTCAGAAGAGACACAGGTTCGATCCCTGGGTCAGGAAGATCCCCTAAAGGAGGGCATGGCAACCCACTCCAGTATTCTTGCCTGGAGAATCCCATGGACAGAGGAGCCTGGCGGACTACAGTCCATGGGGTTGCAAAGAGTCAGACACGACTAAGCAACTTAGCACACTGATTGTCTGGTATTGTGCTAAGAGTTTTGGTGGAGCAATCGCAGCATTGTTCCACTTTGTAAGTGATCAAATAGCGCATGTTCTGTCATGCCCACCACCTGGCATGTGTGTCTTCTACCACTTCCTGAGCAGACTGGCTGGGTGCACAGACAGGGCATCAACCAGTGAAGGGTTCGAAGCCATGTGGACGTGTGCTCATGAGCAAAGCACTGTGAACAGGAAGTGGCCAGCAAGCTGTCCACTCCAGACTGCCCGGTGTCTCCATCTGGACTGTTCTAGGTGCCTCCAAGATGGTCCCCCCACTTCACCTCTCCCTCCCCAGAACCTGTTCCACCCACAGCCAGAGTGACAGTGATGCAACACTCAGGTCTCCCCTCTCAGCGGTTCCAATCCCTCCCAGGTGGGGACAGACCAGGCCTGAGAGGCTCCCGCCCTCGCCCTGACCTCCCCAGGCACCCTCTGCTGGGCAGGCCACTAGCCAGCCTCACTCCTCTTCCTGTTAAAATGTTAGGGCCGTTCATGGGGTCACAAAGAGTTGGCTACGACTGAACAACAAGGGTTCAACTGAGATTAACTCAGGAGTCTAAGGTGAAGAATAAACCTAGGTGTGACATTCTTAGAGGAAATTCTCAGGACCCTCTGAGATACTCTAGACTTCTCATTATAAAGAGCAACCTGATGCAGAATCTCAAATTCTTAATAATGAACAAGAAACTCCAACTTTCTTCTAATTTTTCCTTCTTAAATAACTCTGAAATTAATTTTTATGATAGGAAATATTTGGTTCAGAAATTATTCTAGATCTATAGGGAAACAAACTTAAGACCCTAAAGGAATTGGACTGTGACACAGAAAGATCTTCTCAAGGATTTAATCTGAAAGTACTAGATTTAGTAAATTCGTGTTATGTTTACTATTAACGTACTTGATTTAGCTTTACTATTATAGTTTTTATTATTTTTTATTTATTTTATATTTTATTTATTTATTTTTACTATTATAGTTTTTAAAATGGACATGTTCTTTTTTTTTGGACATGTTCTTTAAACAAAAGTTAATTGTCTTCAAATGAACCAAGTGTTATTAGTATATGTCAGACATTTGCCTTAACATCACCCTTACGAGGCTCATCAAAACATAAATTCAAGAACTATTCAATCTAATAAGTGATGAATATTTCAGAGCACAATAGAATAAACATTACTGAAAGCTGCGTGCACTTTAAAATAAAACAGAATTTTCAGGAAGAAAGTTAATATTAGACACTGATTTCCTTTCTTATGTAAGTGCTGGCTCAATTGTAAACATAATCTTATTTGATACAGAGACCCAGTATGACAACAGAATGCAGGCTTAAAAACTACCAAAAAAAAAAAGTTTTGCTTCTGAAAAAGCATTACAATTCCATCTGCATCAGCTGGTTCCCAATGCTCTTTTATTTTAATGACAGTTAATTATGACCATCATTTCACAATGGCTTCAACATACCTACATGAAAATATATGTCTTCAGTGCAAATGGTTTCTTGAGCTTTATGGGTTTTTTTTATTATTAAAAATTGTTCTATAGCTCAAAAACACATTTGCAAATTAGGTGCTTTGGGTTCCTTAGTAACCCAGGCGGGTGTTACTGTTTTTGGATTTCAGATGGAATCTGGCATGGCCTTGTCACGTGTGTGTTCATCATAAGCAGAAGAAAATATGACAGATCAATCCATCTTGATGTTAATTTCTCATCATATGCTGAGAATAACTTCTCCCTTCATCAGAACCACACAGAAGGTGTTTCATGATTACTTTTAGACGAGCATGCAGGACAAAATTTAGAACTCAAATGTGTATCTATAAATAAGTGAATCTGAAGGGGATTGAGAACACCTGATTTCAGCTAGGAGCCTGCAGTTCTGGGGGACTTTTCCAGTATGTAAGCCATTGTAGCGTGCTAGAAGGACCCAGGGCTCTAGTAGGCTGAAGCCCAGCTTTGTTCCCCATCGTTTCCTTGACACCTCCCCTCCATGACATCCAGTTAAAGACACAGTTAAGTAAACAACAGTGTGCCTGCCATGCCAGATGCCACAATCACTTTTTCTAGGTGGTTTGCCATCGCTACCTTTGCCTTCTTAGAAATTCTAGGGGTTTCACTGGCTATGTTGGAATGCTTATCAGAAACAAATGTCATGTGAGAGGATGCAATAAAAAGCTTTAAAAAGTAATTCTTATCCGCCATCTGGACACAGAGCCTATGGGCAATTGTGTTCTACTGAAGGGGGCGGGGAGGGGGATGCACACGGGCCCATCTGTCTTACACAGAACCTCCTGTGTCAGCTTCCCTCAGAAAAGAGTGCTGAGAATGAAAACCATCTCAAGGACACCATGCCAGGCAGCGGGAACTTTGAAGTACTTTTTTTTGGGGGGGGGCGGGTTGGGTACACACACGCACACACACACTCTTCTGGCAGAACTAAAAAAAATGATTTTCTGAGAAACCAAAGAAATATTTTCTCCTTTGAAACATGCTACATCAAATGACCAAACAAAAGTATTTTAAATAAATGTATGTCCACCAAACAAGAGAAAACTCATATATTCACATCACCCTCTTGCATAAGCAACAGTGCCATCCAAGTGATTTAAAAAAGCAGCCAGAAATTCTGTGGACATGAAGGGAATTACATTTTCCCAGGAGACAGTCGACATTCAGAAGTGATCCAGGTGTGACCTACAGCTGGCCTGCGCCCCTCACGTGAACTGAAGAACCCCTATCTTAAGAGTAAACTGGGTTCTGTTCTCTTACTCCCAAGGATATGATCACCTACCATAAAGCACTTCTTTCTGCTCATGTAATCTCTACTCTTCTGGTATCTGGGAAATGGCATAATTGTTGATTTAGAAATGCGCAGGGGAAAAAGCACCACCAGTATTTCTTAGAGGTATGCTGTCTTCCTGATCATCACCTGCACCAACACGCTCATTAAAACATTTCTTACAATCTTACTGTCTTTACTATTTTTAACACGTGTTAATATTTTGGTATAGAGGGAAGCACTTCTCCCTGGCAGAGAGCTATAATTTTGAAGAAAGTCAATAAAGAAATAATATTAACACTGGTTCTCAGTAAGCCACCTGGTTAACAACTGTTCCATCTTGCACCGTTTAAAATACTTTGGTAAGGATTTACTTACCTGGGAATATTCAAAGTCAGTGATGGGGGCAATGCTCTTGATATAGTCTGATCGAAACTGGTTTTCCGGGTTGGCCAGTGGAACGGGGGGAATTATGGTGCTCATCGCCGACACAATTGTCTACAGTGGAACGAAGGAAAAGAATGTACGGATAAATAAACCACTTAGGCACCATGTGTGATAATCTAATCTGTGATTTTTGTCTACACTGTTTGAGGGAGCAGAGGACACAATCTTTTCACTGAACAAATAATTAAGAAATCCCTGGGACTTCCCTGGTGGTCCAGTATTTGAGACACCAATGCTCCCAAATCAGGGGGCATGGGTCCAGTCCCTGGTAGGGGAAGTAAGGTCCCTCATGCTGCACAGCTTGGCCAAAAACAAAACAAACTCCTTACCACAATAGCATCCTTAACGTTTTTCCGGATGTCCAGAATTTTCTGTTTCTTCTCTCTGTATGAAAAGAGAATGGTTATTAATTAACTTTCTGCAAAGCTGGCTGAATGCTGAATGAGACTTTAGATTCCCAGATACAGTGGGGCTGACATAGATGATGGGGTTGATTAGATGTCAACATTAGCCCCAGGACAACAGTGTAAAGTTGTTTTTTTTTTTTTTAATCTGGGCAAGAAAAATACCTACCTTTTTCAGGTTTGGACTCTAAATAAATTTGAAGGGACGCACCACAGACTCTAACTCTAGACAACCACACAGGTTAACCATAACAAGGTAAAATGGTCATGACTACTGCTACAAAAAATATCGGGCTACACTTGCAAACATATCTTATTTGAATCTATCCATATGTTGAATTGAAATAGAGGCAGACACAGGGAGAAGTATATATACTGACACATTAAGTGTGATCAGAGCAATAGTAATAACACAGATCAATACCTCGAGTATCTAGTAAATCATACTTTGTTAAGTAAATATTTTGATGTAGGCACCACCAGAGGAAGGATTTGCTTAAATACGCCAAATTGAACAACTCGCGTCTATATTTTCTGTCCTTAAAGGCTGACTCAAAGATCAAACTAACTGTTTAGAGAGAACATTTTTGGGGAGGCCGGGAGAGAAAGGACAAAGTTTGCATGCGGTTGGGAAGCAAGCCCGGAATGGTTCATTCCTTACTCTGGATTAAATCCGTTGACGTGCAGGATCCTCATTTGTTTGACGATAGTGCTTTTCCCAGACTCACCAGCCCCTGAAAATACACAGAGAGAACGCTGTGACCGGGGGCTGAAGACCGTGGCCATCTCTCCCGCCACCAGAGACGCACCAGCGTCCTGCCCGCGCGCGGGCGTCTTCAGGCGCGCGCTCGCGGTCGGCGCGGGCACTGGCCCCGCAGCCCGGCCCTCTCCGAGCCGCGCGGGCCACGCACCCGGGTCGTGCGCTCTGCTCTGGCCCGGCGCCGCCGCGCACCCCCCGGCCTTACCCAGCAGCAGCAGGCGGTGAGTCGCTTTGTAAGCCAGCCGCTCCTTTTGCAACTGCTTCTCGATCTTTTTGTTGGCCTCGCGCCGCTCCTTTTCATCGACGCCCTGGTCTTCTGACGTCTTGCTGTTGCCCAAACACCCCATGCCTGCCCGCTCGCGTGGACCTCAGGCACGGTTAGGAATTTGCACAAAAGGCGGCAGACAACTGTAGGTGTGTGTAGACCCTGCGGCGGCCTTTCTTCCTCGCTGTTGAAAGAGACGTTCCGGTCTCTCGGTGTTTTCGACCAGAGCAGGCGTTTCTTCTCCCTCCCCGTGCCCACCGCGAGCTCCCAACTCAGAGAACGCAAAGAAGACGCGCGGAGCCAAGTGCTTTTTAAAGACAATTGTTTAGAATGATCTGCTGGATAAACAGCAGTAAGTGGAGACAAGGCGGAGAGCGCCGGTCCTCCGGAGCCGGCCGGGTGGCGCTGGCCCTCCCCGCGCCCCGCGCGCCCCTCTCCGCGCGCCCGGCTGCTCGCGCCCGATGAGCTGCCGGGGAGCGCCTAGGGGGACCGGAGCATGGACGCTCTGCCGGGTGCCCGGGCCCCGCCGGTGGCGGCCGAGCAAGGCGCGGTGGGACGGAGTGCGCCGGGTCCCCGCCCGTGACTGTGGTCACCTGTCGGCCACCCGCGCCCCATCCCATGTCCTAGCCCCTGAAGCCTCCCCGCGGCGGGGAAAGGGAGCCGACAGGGCGGCGGGGCAGGGGGTCCTGGAGTCTGGAGGGGTGGCGGCCGCCCTCGAAGGGAACCGCGGAGGCTCACCCGCGTGCAGTCCTAACGCGGCGCGCGCGGCTCCCTCGCAGCCGGAGCGGCTCTGGGTCTGGGCGTGCGCTCCCGCGATCCCGCACCGCCTCCGGCTCGCGGCGGGCGAGGCCTCGTGCTGGATCATGCATATTCTATCAAGGGGAGGGTCCGTGCAGGGCTCAGGCACCCCGCCTCCCCTCGTTCCCGTTCTAGATGGTTCCAGCGCTCCCACGCCGCCTCCCGCCCCCGGCTCTCCTCCGCGCGCTCTGAGCAGCTTGGCTACTTTTCTGGAAGACGCCGTGGCCCGGAGCCTGGCGCCGCCGCCTGAACCAGTGAGGGCGGCTGCCCGTTTTCACCTGTTGCGCGGGCGCCAGCCAGACACTGCCCCGCTGCTGCGGTGGTGCTCGGCGTCCTCGCCGCTGGACGCCTGGGGTCACCCCGCTGTGCGTCTCCAGGCTCGGGACCCTGTCATCGCGCTCCGATTCCTCTCAGGGCTCCTCTCGGCTCTGCCGTCCAGTCCCCTCCAGCCCTGACGTTCCCTCGCGGTCCGCACGCCTGGCCTCCTGCGGCCACCGCTCCGCGGGCCTCACCCGGCTTCCCGCTGTTTCTTTCCTTCTTTACAGCGCGTGCCCCACCCCCCCCCCCCCGCCCGCCCCCCAAGCCGTACATCAGCCCCACCGTGTCTTGCTGCCCACAGGCTCCGAGTTAAAACCTAGGACTGACTCCCCCCGCCCCGCGCGTTTCGCCCCGCCTCGGTTCACACTTAAGCTCCTGCGGTCAGGCTTTGACCCACCCTTCACTGAAATACTCTCTCGGAGCCATCAGCGGACGCTGGGGGCCGGACTTCCCCCAGGAACTGTTGTCTTGACCTTTACTGACTCCCCTGGAGACTCCTTCGGCTTCCCCTCCCCCCCACCGTGTCCTTGAATTTCCCTCCCCTTCCACCCGGAGCAGGCGCCTCAGCCCCAGCCCAGCCCCCTGTACACAGCGCCCCAAGCACACCTCCACATCGGGGCCTCCCAGGATCTTCCCTTGCCCACCCACACCGCCAGCCGCTCCTCTCTCTGGCTCTGTGAATAAGGTCCCTGATTTCCTGAACCAGGACATGGTTCCCTCCTTTTCCTTCTTTCAAACCCAGTCACTGTGTTCCTTTGGGTCCCTTTCCTAAACATCGCTCCTGTTCTTTCCACCGCATCTGCCAAAGCCACGGTCACTGTCCAGCCTGGATGTCAGCAGTGGCCTTCTGCTCACTTCCTCCTGCCCCCCAGACCGTTGCCACAGTCACAATGCAGATCTGACCACCTCGCTGTCCCCACCACCCCCACGTCCTCAGCCATGGTCCATCAAGACTGTTTCCTGGTCAACTGTGCAGCTTGAGCCCTCATGTACGTGCTTCCCGGAGCTCCCCAGTCCCCCTTTGGCCCCTGTGCGTTAACACCCAAGGGCATGGTGTGGGCACCTGTGTGCTGCTCTCTCTGGGAGAATTGTGTAATGGTTCGTTTACTGCTCTTTCAGAAGTCCACTGGGCTTGGGCTCAGTGAGCGCCGAGGTGGAGCCCGCCCCTTGCACCTGCTTCGCTGTGCCCAGTTCAGTGCCTGGCCGAGGAGGGAGAGGCCCCATGAGTCCTCATTGGATGTATGTATGAATGAATTCCCAAAGGCCAAAGATAACTCCCTTCAAGTGTAGGTTCTCATGAAAGGAATTTCACCAATAGATTTTAAATTCATAAGATACTTGTCCAGTTTAGCACCATATCCAAATAGGAATACTCTTTCAAAGACAAAAGCAGTGAATCTTTCTTTCTGTCAGGGCAGAAACAAAGATACAGGATGAGCTGGGTAGGAGTTTCAGCAAGTGAAAGGACACTATTCAGCAGTGTCCTGAGGCCTCCCTCTTTGTGTTAACACAAATATTTACCCAGGGCAGCATCCACACATCCTCGAAGGTGGTGGATGGGGCAGTGCGTGGTGAGAACATATGCACAAATACAGCAGAGTGTGGTGGGATGTTTTAAAGGATATGTCTATTTTTTCTAATGCCAAGGTGTCTATAATACTGTCAGCTAGAAGAGAAGGGGACAAAACAAATCCCATGGAAGCTTGCTGTGCTTAGTCGCTCAATTGTGTTTGACTCTTTGTGACCCCATAGACTGCAACCCGCCAGCTCCTCTGTCCATTGGGATTCTCCAGGCAAGAATACTAGAGTGGGTTGCCATACCCTCCTCTGGGGGATCTTGCGAACCCAGAGATTGAACCCAGATCTCCTGCTTTGCAGGCAAATTCTTACCATCTAAGCCATCAGGGAAACTGATAAAGGGGAGAAATAAGAACCTGTAACCCTAAAAAATATAGCAAAAGTTTTCACTTGTTCAAATTTAGGAATTAGAATTAAAATAACTCATTTCTATGACTTGTCAAGTGATTGCTGGCACTGAGCTAAATCCTTTCCATGGAGTGATTTATTTGGTATTTGCAATAACCCTGAAAGGAACTATTGTGACTGTTGTTTCATAGAATGCGAGAGGGTGAATAAGAGGTGTGTATGGGATCTAAACCTTTGCAGCCTGGCTGCAGCATCTGCACTGTCCATCCACAGAACACTGTTGTTGTTGTTGTGTAGTTGCTCAGTCATCTCCCGACTCTTTTGCAACCCCATGGACTATAGCTCACCAGTCTCCTCCGTCCATGGAATTCTCCAGGCAAGGACACTGGAGTGGGTTGCCATTTCCTTCGCCAGGGGATCTTCCCAACCCAGGGATGGAACCTGCATCTCCTGCATTGGCAGGCATGTTCTTTACCACTAAGCCACCTGGGAACCAGTCCAAAACATAAAAGCAACTTGTTTACATGGCAATGCAACATTTCTGATGAGAAATGCCAAGGTGATATTTGCACAGTCTATTATCAGGTAGGAGGTCAAGACACTTAAAAACAAAAACCAGTCATGTGGCCTTTTCCTAGTCTGGTCTAGGTGACCAGTCCTCCTTTGAGTTTTGAACCCTGGGCTCAGAATGCAGAATCCCATCTGGCTCACCTGGAACACAGCAGCGGCTGTTGGGGAGCAGCTGGGAGCGGGTGATGCCCGCATCTGTTGCCAGGCAACGGCAGCACAGCAGCATCACCACCTTCGCTGCAGTGCACGCCCACCTGCGGATGTGAAGGGCCGCTGAGGGGGCAGCCAGGTGGGGGGATGCTGGGGTGAGGGGAGGCCCCGGGCAACGAGGAGGGTTGGGAAGACATGGAGTTTAGGGTGAAAGGGCAAATGCGAAACAAAGTGGTTTTTCCTGCTCTTGTTGATGTTAAGAGACAAGGAGTCTTGTGAAAGTGAAAGTGACTCAGTCATGTCACAACTCTTTGTGACCCCATGGACTGTAGCCTTCCAGGCTCCTCTGTTCATGGAATTCCCCAGGCAAGAATACTGGAGTGGGTAGCTGTTCCCTTCTGCAGGGGATCTTCCCAATCCAGGGATCAAACCCAGGTCTCCTGCATTGCAGGAGGATTCTTTGCCAGCTGAGCTACCAGGGAAGCCCCCCAGTGCATTTGAAAGTTGAATTATTTGAATTTCTTTTGTACTTAATTTGTGAATTTTGAATAACGATTTTGAAATTTGTTTTTTGTTTCAGCTCCTCCCCCCACCATTGAAGCTGGCAGATGTCCAGAAGTTGACAACTATTTTCTGGTTAGCTGGACCTGAGTCTCTGCTAGCAATGGGAACAAAATTCATTTTCTGTTATATAAGGAGGCCCTCCACAGAAATTTAATTAACAGCAAGATGAAAAAAATTCAAAGGAACTGTCTCACATCACCTCAGGCCTGGATTCAAGAGATGCTGAGCTCATTTGAAAAGTGACCAGAATGCTGTGGAGCACAAGATCGCGGATATATTGAATTAAATTTAAAAAATCAATGTTTTAAAAAGTTAATGACTGGTCTCGAATTTTATGGGACTTCCCTGCTGGCTCAGTGGTAAAGAATCTGCCTGCAGTGTGG